AAGGAAGGAGAGTATCACCCACTTAATAATGTGTCCAGCTGGTCAAGCTAAGTGTGAAAGATTAACTCACACATGCCCAAATTCTGTCCTCAAATATGGAGGAAGGAATTTCATGCTGGCCATTAGTGAATTAAATGTGTTTTCCAAGATCTACCCATCCATGCAGATAGCAGTTGGGGATGGCTGGAAATTTTGGGGGGAAATCAGGTCTTGGATTTCTTCTGCTAGAAATAATGCCAAAAAAAAAAAAAAAAGTTTTGAAAGTGTTGAAATTACATCTTGACACTTAAACCCTCCACCAATGTCTGCTTTATATTTAATTTATAATCCAACTATATCTTTGCAGACATAAAACCTAAATGAAACCATTTGAAATTATTTAAAGTGCAGTGTTTCAATTGACCTGATCAAATTTGGGGTTTATAAATTCACCAGACTTCTTGAGATTAAAGTGTTCTGTCTTAAGTATGGAAACATTTTCAAGCCTCAAAAATTATCCCACAATGGGGAAAATGTCTGCTGTACTGCTCTCCTCACAGTCTGAGGAAATGAAGGATGGAGTCACAAGATTTAAAGCAATTCACTTACCACACTTTACTAAGTTACAGTTCAGCTACAGTAGTTGACCATGTGCCTGGTTTTAGCACAACAGTCACTTTTGATTCCACAGCTAATACCATCTCTTCTGTGCAGTTACTCCAAAAAATGTTTCTTCTGCGGTGCTTGCAGAAAGTGAGTTCATGTCCCTGTGCATGAGTTGCCAATGTAATTTATTCCAGCAGCTTCTCTCCCAGCGAAATAACCAATACCATGCTCATGTCCCCATGCATAAGCTGCTCTTGGTCTGGTGTTCAGAGTGCAGGAGAGATTATTTATGTTTGTTAGAGCGCTGGGTGAATTGCCAGGACAGATGAGGCAATGACTAATGTCTATGTGGCTTTTCTTCTGCATTAATTGCTAGGTCATTGTGGGAGGGTCCTTGTGCTGCTCTATATTGTGAGTTACTGGTGTCACCTAAAATTTGGTTATGAGAGGTTATAATCAGTAGCATTAGGGAAGCAGGATGAGATGCAGCCTGCAGGCTGTCACTGCAGCTTTGCTCCTCAAAGCCGTTTGCCAGCTTTCCATCTGGGTTGTGAAGTTTCAGGAGAGGATTCAAAGACTTCCCACTTCAGTCTTCAACGGCTCTTGCATCCCTGAAGTCTTTCCAGCAGTTTGGCTTTTCACTTTGTGGCCCATGTTTAAACCTAATATCTGCAAAGCAACTCCCTTTGGCTTTCTGCAGTTTCTGAAGGGCCAAGTGTTGCAGTAGGGAGGTCCTCAAACAACTCCCACCACCAAACTGGTGCCAGATACTTGTTCTCAAGCAGCTTGTTCCCACTTTGCTGTTGATAGTGCTGTACACATTTGTGTTTCGTAGTTTTTATTTGCAAGCTGATGCTTGATGTCCTAGTCATTTCAGTTATATGCTTGTGGTTTAGTGTATCTTTGCTTGGGGTTATTTTTCTTACTGATATATTAGGATGATTATTCTGGCTAGGTGAGATTCTTCTTTTTTGCCATGGATAATTAGTTCTGCCCTCAAGAGACAGGTACCCAGACTCAGCCCTTAACATTGGGCCTACCTTCCATTTAGAAATGGGTGGTTCCTTCCCCATCCTTTTCAAACCTCAAAACTGTCTCCAAAATAGAAGGGCATTTGCTGCCTCTTAGCCAAAAATAAGAGAAAAGGGTTGGTGAACTTCCTCTTATGCCCATGCTGGATTTGTGGTCCATATTCTTATGGCATGAATTTTACCATAGCCCCTTGGTCTGATGTTTTCTAACTGGTTCTCATCTTTCTTCTCTGTGCCTTGCTTTGGTCCTCTTAGTAACTCATCAAATGCACTCAGCTCTACCTGTTAATTACAGAGAGGGCTGGTGGTTGTACTTGGGAGAAAAGAAAAATGGGGCTGTTAGGTTTTTTTATTTCCTTCGTCTTGTTCAGCTTTGTGAAGGTCTGAAAGCTCCAGGAAGTGCTATGAGAGTTGCTAAACGTGAAAGAGAGCAAAACCAAGGAGCCAAATTTATAATCCTGCAGGGATGATATTCCCATAATGTGCAGAAATACCTTTGTGCAGGTTGTTAGCTGCTGGGGCAGCACTTAGGCATGTGGGATAACCTGATTAGAGAATCAAAGAAAACCATGTTAGCTCCGCAGGCCAAATCCTGCCTCAGAGCAGCCTGATGTCAAATGGGTGTGAATCAAGGAAGCTTTCCCTTTGGCATCTCCTGGTAACACCTTGAAGAGAAGGGTCTGAGCCAGGGCTCTAGCAGGCAAAGAGACTTAAGCAAATATGCTCCCAGACAGGGAGTGAACTGGAGTCTGAAGATAATGACTTTGTTTTTCCTCACTGGTACAGACTTAGAAAGATGAAAAGAATAAATTTCTCAGGTCTGATTTTCAGGTTGCATAGAAGGCTTAATCAGTAGCTGGTTAATTTAAAATGCTTGTCTTGGCTGCAAGAATGCCAAACAGTACAACTGAGCTGAGATTTGGGAGCAGAAGGCATGTTTTCCGAAGGCATAATCCAGAAGCACGATTACCTGCTGTCCTGGTCACGGCAAAACTCCCACCAAAGTCAGTGTTAATACAAAATGTCAGACAAGATGATTGTCATTATTCCCTGTGGTTTTAAACTGTGTGTATGAAATGTGTGAGTAGGAGTTGTATCAGATCCTTTGCAGGGTGGATTGCAGCTGCAGGTTTCTGCTCTGTTCATAGTACGAGATAGGGTGTGCTCAGCATTGCTGTCTGCAGCGCTGTTACATGGGCTGCAGTGGTGGGGGGTACCTGCTTAGCAAATCAGCCCCCAATGTGCAGGTAAGCCGTGAAACTCACGGCTATGTTGTGGGTGCTCAATGTTTATCAGAATTCAAAAAGCAATTGAGAAAGTTCATGGGAGAAACATTTACTTGAGGCTAAGTATGGAGAAGCCAAGTTCTGGCTCAGGAAGTCCCTAAGCCAGAAATCGCTGGAGGCTGGAAGCATATCCTCAGGAATTGCTGTTTTCCTTGCCCTGTTCTCATACTTTGGCCTCTGTTGTTGGCAACTGTTGGAAATGAAGCAAGAGGTGACTTGGTGAGGCAAGCGCTCCATACTTGCACGTATTCAGAAGATGTTAATAGCAAATGCCTTACACCATCTTCTGTCAGTATCTGCAGGTATGCTGCATTCCTTCCTTGGCAATATGCACGGATGCAGACTGAGATGATGTGATCTGCTTATGCAAAGCAAAATGGTAAATTTGCCAGGTTATTTCTCCAAGGAGAAAATTATTGGCCTTGCTTTTTCTGGCATACCAGCTACTGTTATAATGATGATGATGGTGACAGCAACCAGACAGAAAGGCCAGCAATAATTTTTTCCTGCCCATTATTACAAGGCATAAAGCAAAATCCAGTCTGAAACCAATGCTAGTCTATCTGTGCTCTCTTTCCAAATCTGTGAGGCAGTTGTCAAATGAGTTGATTTTAGGACTTTTCATATTGACCTTTCCAAAAACGATCATTTTGATCTTCTGATACGAACTTATATATTCCTATGTTTGTAATCTTACTAGTGATTTGCAGCTCAGAGATAATGTCTGATAGCAAATACATGAGTGGAGAAGTAACCTCTCTGAGCTCCTGGTGATTCATCTCCTGACAATACATTTTGGCTGCACATGTAAGGTCTGGATCTTGCCCCTGAGAATATTGGCTCAAAGAAGCAATAACAATGCAGTCAGTCAAAGCACCACTTTCCCTGGGAATTTTGTTGCATGAGGAAGAAGAAGAACTTTAGCCTTCCTGTGTGTGTCAACATGATCTGCCTTCCAGCAGCTTTTTATATTTCTATCCCGTTCGATTTTTTTCCTTTTCTTCCCCCCATCCCTTATTTCTATCTTAATCATAATCAATACTCTCATCATAGACTTTCTACCTCATCCAAGATTCAAACACTGGTTAATAACATTATTTGATAACTCTAGATGCATCAAGCAGGAGTAGTAGGTGAAGTTTGCTTTCCTAAAGTCCAGTGAAATGACTAGAATCATTGCCACAGATTTATTGTTTGCGTCTATGTGGGTTGCACCCTCCATTCATTTTATGTGTCTTTAAGGTGCTTGGTTTGAAAGGATAGATTGCAAAGTTGGTGTCAAAAGGGCTGGTGTGGCTCACAGACAACCATCTGAAGTAAAACTATCTTGGGGTGAGTGAGGCTTGAAATGAGATGAATCATTCAATGGATCCCACTTGAAAGGTGGGATGTTTTTTGGCTTCAGCACTTCAGGAGCAGGCCACTGTGTAAAACCTGTGCAGCAAGGATCATGGTCTTAGAGCTGGCATTTCACAGCCATTATCTGAAACATAGTGGCCCAGAGATAAATGAACAGTTAAGTCACCCTGAACTCCTGTGCTTCATTGCAGACACTGCTTTGTTCTCTCCTCAGACTCAACAGTAGTCTCTGTGATGGGATAGGAAGATTAAGATTTTCTTACAAGGCAGATAAGAATCTGTTGTGGGAGCTGTATTGACAGAGCAGTTAGGGGGTCTCTGCATAGCCCCAGGAGTTTGACAGCTTTGCACTGTGGAGGCTGTATCTAACCGACTCAGCTGCAAAATGTCATTCAGACTGGGCAGTCCTGAGACAAAAACCCAGGAGTGCAGGCTGCGTAACTCCTTCAGGTGCTCTTGGCTACACAAGCTGCAAAGGCTTAGATACACATACCTGATGGGCCATCTCTGATCAGTTATCAGAGCTGCTGAGAGAAGGCTCTGGTTTCTGTTCTCACACTATCCTTAAGGTTTGACCCAGGCACTGTGCTGTTACCATACTCTTTGTTGACTATACTGCACTTATTTAGAAATGAAAGTACCCAAAGCTTGCAGGTAGACCAGCAGCAACCTCCAGCTGACCTTTGTAAATGTCCCTCTGAGATGGTGTTTACATCTGCTGTGTACATTTTGTTTGCAGAACACACTGGAGCAGTGCAGCGTCTGTGCAAAGCCCATCATGGAAAGGATCCTCCGTGCTACTGGGAAGGCCTACCATCCCCACTGCTTCACCTGCGTGATGTGCCACCGCAGCCTGGATGGGATTCCCTTTACTGTGGATGCTGGTGGGAACATCCACTGCATCGAGGATTTCCATAAGTATGGCTAAAGCTGCTATCAGTGGCTTTGCTTATTGTCGTTCTCTCCCTAAAAATCCTCCTTTTTTTAGTCTGAGTGTCCAGAAAGATCTAAACCCTCTACCACTTCATCCCAAGGCTCTTTAATAGTAGACAGAGTTTTGTTCCAAGCAGGCACACAATGGCATACAAGATTAATTGGTTAGGGTTAGGGATGCTGCTTTATCTCTGTTTTGCTAAGATCTAAATTTATGGATAACTTCTGTGTTCCTCCATTTCAACTGCTCTGCATTCCCCCTGCCATCTCATGCCCTCAGTATGTGCACGTTTCTCCTCACTACCTTTACCTGCATTTCCACATCGGCGTCTTCCTGCTGCTTCCACCAAGCAATCAAGAGAGGTCCTGTGCTGTTGCACTCTGCAGTTGTTTGCTTACTGGCTAGGGGGTCTAGGTGGCCACAGGATGCTCACAGCTTCTTCTCTTTCTAGTTGTGATAAGCTTTTTTAAGTTGCTAAAAATACAGCCCTGGTAATAATTTATAGTGAAACTGCTATTTAAAGTAAGTTGAAAGGTATAGTTGCAAGTAGTTTCTGTCACTGCCATGCTACCACCCCCGTCATTGCAACTAATCTAGGGAAGACAGGTAGATATAATCAGCACAAATGTTTCCCCTGTATAGAAAAGACAGACACATTACACCCCTCAATTATAAAAGGAAATCAATACTGACAAATGTGAGTTTACATCTCAACCATTTATCTCTTAATTTCTAAGGGGGTAGATTTAATTAGAGCCTTATGACATCAATGTGTGGGCCTGAAAGCTCAAAGAAGCAGGCTGACTTGACAGAAAGGGAAGCAGCCACGATCAACTGGCATGTTAAAATCCAACGTGAGGATGTTCCCTGTAGCTCAAATAGGCTGGTTTAATTGGCAGCTGCTGTGTTACCTTACTTTTCTGTGCCAGCAGTTGTGTGTAAGGTAAAATTTGGACCTGAGCACAGGCCCAACAGAAGGTTTACACACCACTCAGGCTCCTGAAGGATTTCCTTCGCACCCTCTTAAAACTGGGAGACTGCTCCTTCCCGAGGCCCCACAGGCCAGTGGCTTACATGCAGGTTGGAAGCAGTTGAAGTCCAAGTCTTCTGGCGGTGACTGGATGTGGACCTCAGAGCTCTGAGAGTGGGAAGTAGGAGGCTGTCAATCCAAGGAAAGGACACAAAATAGTTGAGTGAAAGACTGAGGGAAGATACGGGAATAGCACAAGACCTAATGTGGCATGCAGAATGTCTTTGGCCTTGGCCAACCACGTGTTTAACAGCACTTCATCCAGGCCAGTTTTAATTAATTAAGAATGACACATGCTCCTGGTCTGGAGGTTGAGTGCTCTACATCTTGTACATCCTCTTGATAACAAAACTATAGCTGATGCTTACACTGTCACTTAGCTGAGCTACGGCCCTGCAGTAGCACTTCCACATCCCCTGATATCTGCAGGAGTCATCTTTGGGTCCTGGGAATTAATATTTGGCTCATCATTACCCACAGTGGCCTGGACAAAGAAATGTTGAAGCATTCTTAAGCAGCACATTTGAGCTAAATGGCAGAAGGAAGCGCCTGCATGAAGCAGCTTATAATTAACTGCGATTACAGCTCCGGTCATATATCCATTTAAGTTATTTTTCAGAGTGCTCACTATAGCCACTGTTTAATTCATTTTTTTGTTAGATCACAGCTACCCAGACATCTTTCATCTGTTGCCAGGGAAATTAATATTTTTCTTTATTCGTAGTACAGATAGATTTTTTTTTCTTTTCTTTCTTAGCTAGTTAATTCTGAGGTGGTTCATGTGACAGACTGAGTGGCAGAGTCAATCTTTCCTAGGCATTTCAAAAGTGAAGGGCCTTTGATCTCCTTGTGTTCTGATGTTTGCCATAAGCATTGCCCTCTGTTGCTCCATAGCCCATGACCCCAGCACTCATTACATGGCAGCAGATTCTGTAGGTATACAGTTCTTTTGTGAGCAGAATTTGCAGCCAGGGAATTGGTACCTATAGGTCTTGAGCCAAAACAGCAAATAATAATTCATCACAGGCTAAACGTTTCCAAGCATCCCCACCTGCCTAGGAGCAGAGATGGCCACTTCTCATGGGCAACTGGGGGAGAGCAAAACCAGAGCTAAGACAGAACACATGTGAATTGCACAGAAGGTCAAATGTTGGGCAAAGTCTGTGCTCCCCTTGATCTCTGAGCTCACCCCAATTCAAGTCAGTCCTATCATACAGTAAGCGAGTGTCACTATACAAATCTGACTCAGGCTGACTGTGGAAGAGAGAGTGTTGGTGTCCCTGCTCCCTTTAAAGCCTGAACAATGCACTAATGGATAACTGAGAGTTGGTTTTATCTAGAAAACGCACCTAGTCAGAATTGCCCCTGTGCTTCTTGTTTGCGAATGAGCACAGCCAGGAGTGTGCTGCTGGATGCATAAGTGGGTAAGACTCCTTCCTGTCTTCTTTCCAAGGAGGCAGCTGTGCAAAGCTACAAACTATGACGTATGTTTACATACATGTGTGCGTGTTTCTACAAATGCACATGCTTCTGGCTTGCTGGTGCAATTATGAAAAGATTCTGCTCTGAGTTTGAGGATGACTGTGACGTATCTTCTCTCTTCAGGAAATTTGCACCGAGATGTTCAGTGTGTAAGGAGCCCATCATGCCAGCCCCAGGACAAGAGGAGACTATACGCATTGTTGCCTTGGATCGTGACTTCCATGTCCAGTGCTACCGATGTGAGGTTGGTATTCTAATCACATGAAGGACAGAAAGCAAAGGTTGGCTTAATTTTATCTCTGCCTCATATTATTACACACGAAAGGCATACCCTATTGTAACACTGGCTTTACAATGAAATTACTTCATTGACTTCAGCATGCAAGGAATTTTTTCTCATTTATATCAGTGCAAATGAGAAGAAAATCAGGTCCCTTGTTTGTAGCAGGTTCATTAGGAGAGCAAGAGAATGTGAGTCAGGTAATTAGGGCTTAATATTTAAGAACTTCATAAATTATAGCTTGGACACAAACGTTGCTCTTGTTTAAGTTCTTAAAATGAAAGCTAATGCATGTTAGAATTTGAGCAAGATGGTACAAGAAACTCAACATATGGCTCTGGGTTGAAGAATTTTAATGGACATACAAACATGATAATTCTTGTTTTGTGCAATGCTTTTTGTGCTACTTTCCTGTTCAGTTTCATTATGCACTTCATATAATTTTGATGGTAAGAATCTGAAGACAGAGAATAAAAATCACCTTCGAGCAATTAACATGTGGGAACAGCTGTGTTAGGGAGCCTTCAAGAATTCTTCAATGCAAGTATTACTTGTTGGATAATACATCAGCCAGATGGCAGGGTAAGAAAATGAGACCAAATGTATTTCTTATCACTGTTGCAGGTTTTAATAACTAACTAGAAAGAAGGGTGGACCAAGGCTTAAAAGTCTAGGCTGAAGTTTGAGGCATCTGGTTCACTTCTCAGTCTGACCTTGGCTACATGTCAGCCCTTTACTTAGGCCCAGTTTTTTAATGATGCTGGGGCATTCCTACACTGAATTTTGTAGAGCCTAATTCATCATACACCATGTCCCTATGCTGGGTGCTGAGATACCTAGGCTTCATGCACATGAATGTCAGAAATAAATGCAGTGGAGATCACAGGATACACTCACTTGGTCTTGATCTGCATGTGCCTCAGCTATCTCAATAGGAATAATAATGCTGTTCCTCTTTCCACCACTTGCTTGACAGGTATATTTGCAAATGCAGGTTTATGACGAAGAGGCATGACCTCTAAGCAAGCCATAATCCTGTCACCACAGCTCTGTCAGCAGTCTTAGGTCAAGCGATTGCCTGGTCACACAGTGAGAGATAATTCCCAAATTTCCTTGCGGCTATACTTAGGGGCTGGGGTCTCTGGAGCAGGTTTTGGGCCTTTTAGTGGGGTTTCCATGTGCCTGTCTTGGTGACATCCTTCTTTCAGCCACAACCTTTTGGGACAATTGCAATACAAACACAGGTGACAATTCTGGTAGGGGAGACAGGCAGGGAGCTTGCTTAGCTGCCACACCTGGAATAGATGCTATAGCTTTGTGGCATTAACTCTTCCAGAGGAGATTACCTGTAGTCAGGTGTTGGTACCAAACTTACTGCCCAGTGATGCTTCTTTTTATCCTTTTTTGTATTAGTAAACATGTGCTTAAGTTTTATGTTTTCTCCGGTGCTAAAGACCTTTCCTTCCTCAGCAATGTGAAGGGAATAATCTCCTTTTATTTTCAATGGGATTAAATTCCAAAGAGAGCTTGGGAATCCATCTTCTCTGCAGCATTTTCTCTTATCACAAAATGGCCTAATCATGAAAGACATCATGTACCTCAGCTTTGGGCTTTACACTGACGCAGGCTAGATCCTCTTACAAGGTGGAGAGCGAGGAAAGAGTTTCTTTGGCTAATAGATTCCTTGCTTAATGTTGTTGTTCTTACTTATTCACTTCGCTCCTTCTGTTTGCTTATTTCCTAGGACTGTGGTGGCCTTCTGTCTGAAGGGGACAATCAGGGCTGTTATCCTCTGGACGGGCACATCCTTTGCAAGACCTGCAACTCTGCTCGGATCCAGGCTCTGACGGCCAAGGCCAGCACTGATCTCTGAGTATCAACTGTGACCCTTCCCCAGGATGCCTGTTAGGGGATATTGCACAAGCTTTGCATGATTTCTTTCCAGCCTAGGGTCTGAATCTCTGTTTAAAAAAAAAAAAAATAATAAAAAAAAGAGGTAAAACTGGAAGGCCTTGGAACAAGAGGGCAGTTTGTGAGGCCATGTTCAGACTGCCTGTGACAGGCACCTAACTTAGACATGACTTTTCAGGAGTGAGTCAGAGCACCTGCTGTGTCTGCAGCTGATGGAGATAAGTGGTCACAACAACTAAGTTATCTGCCCATAGCAGGCCTGAACATGGTCCTAACTCTATTTCTGTGTTTGATTCCTGGCTCTTAAGTATATGAAGGTAGAAGGTGAAAGATGGCTGAGCTAGTTCTTTCTTCCAAGTTATTCGGGAACCTGACCAGCTGTCATTGAAGTCACGGGTTGACTTTAATGGGATCTGGATCACCAGTGGAAGTAGCTCCACTGCCCTAGAGGGTGTGAGAGCAGACCTGGCACTCCTCTCATCACAACACAAACAGTATGACTTCAACTGTACTGCACCTAAGAGTGCAGGTGTGACCTTGTATCCTTTGGACACAGATTTGTTACCTATATCTTTTTTCTTAGGCCCTTACTTGTCTTCCATTCCCTTCCAGTTCGATAGGATTTTTTCTTTTTCTTATGAAATTATATTTTACTATTGCATAAATTTATTCAGTAGTGATGCTTCCAATTCACAGTGTATGAGGAATCACAGAAAGAAGCGATCTTGCACACACTACACACCACACACTACACACCGTACACACACGCCACACACACACACACCGTGTGCTTTTAATTTACTTGAGATAGTAGCCAATCATGTCTGTTGAGAACATGTTTTAAGGATGTGGAGCTGGAAACACATTTTTTAAATCCCAGTGGTTTTAAAAAAAAAACCAAAAACACCACCAAAACACGAAAGAAGACTACATAGAACTGCAGTGCAGAGCGTTGCTCAGAAAAATCTTATGTCACTCTCATACCCCATTCTAGTGGGATCACTGGCAGTGCTGGTTTCTAGGTAGACATTTAAGCAAAAGAGTTTTGTTCCATCACCTGTTTATTGCAATGGGAGGATTTTTGTTTAACTGTATGGGGGATTGAATCCGGCCTTGGGATATACATTTCTCTGATGTTAACAGATGATCTAGAGTTCTTATAAAAAAAAAAGTATGAATCTTATTTCAACAACAGCAAAAAGATTCTCCTAAATACATGCTGTTGTTCAGTTTTTATCTTACGAAGGCTAAAGTTGGTATTAAACCCTTCCCTATGCCATAAAAAAGTAAGCTTCTTTTTTAGTCTGTTTAATTTTCATCCCAGCCACTTATAACTTCTCTCTGGTGAAATGTCATTGCATTAGAGTGCTGGGCCAGCAGCAGCATTTTCATCTTCAGTCCAGAATTAACACATAAGTCAAGGAAAAGCTGGACACACATAATCTTTTTCTCTCATGTTGGTGGTAGTTTTCGGGTAGTGTTTTTTTGGTTTGTTTTTTTTGGGTTTTTTTTAGTTTCTTTAATTAAAAAAAAAATAGAAATCCACAGCACTCTGAGCAGCTATAATATTTTTGTTCATGAAACCCATAATAACTAAGGTGCTAATTACATAGTGAGGGAGTAATTTTCATATCACTGAATTGACATTAATATCTTATTTGCAGATGTAATCAAAGAAAATACCTTTCTTTGCACTTAACAAATTAAGAAAGAGAACTGAAACAGTTGCAGGCTGATTGACCATATAGGTGACAAAGTGGTACTTTTCAAGAGTAAGTTATAAGAAGTTTTTTCATGCATCCACTGAAAACCAATAAGAATGTGGTGCTTTTATCTTTATTTTCTATAATAGAAGCCTTATCTAACTACACCCACTAATGCTGAAAAGTTAGATGAGCCAGACCGATTGAAAACAAGGAGAAAACTTCAGATACTTACTGCAGCTCCTGCAAATAGTGCATTTCCTTTCAGTTTAGTGCTAACCTTTATGGAAGAGCACTGTGAAATTTAATAGCTTTAGCTGTATACAGTAAATCCAAATACAGAAATACTAGTCTGAAACTTCTGTTCCTTACATTGTTTATATGTTGGAAAACTCCACCAGTGCCAGGGAAGTTTCCCAAAATTCACAGCTCAGAATGAATCCTTCTTTGTAGAAGGGTGGCACCATTAAGAAAAAGACATCGTTCTCCAACACAGTGGCTGGGCTGAAGCAGTTTACCTTTTTATAGTAGATTTCTACTGGCCTTCAACAATTTTACTGCCTCAGACATAAACAAATTTTTTTGCACCATGACCTCTGCCAGGTTCCGCCTGGGCTCCTGCTCCCTGAACCATGGCACGTAAGGTACTTCTGAGCTCAATTCTTTCTTTACCTGCAGTCTGCACCACCACCCATCAAAAAAACCTCATAACTATTGAGTAAACCCAGTGTTAACTAACCATACAAAACCACGGGAGGTCAGAGATGGGATTGCTAACACCATTATATATCCTTGTGGAGGATTTTACATCTCTGCAAGCACAGGGGATGACGTGGTGCTCTTGAGTGCAGAATAAGCCATTCATCAGGCAGCAAATGTAGATCTGATCTTCCTTACTCTTGTTAGTGTTAAATCAAGTGGTTGATGAAACTCTCCTGAATAACACTGGGGCAGTTGACGGAAACAAGCTATTGTGCTTTCCTGCAGAATGTGGTCGAGACTAAGAAGGACCAAAGTCCAGAACCTCTGGGCTTTTTATGGCCCTGCCTTAGGCTGGACTTGAAGCAAGTCATACGGCTTCTCGTCTTCTGCCCTCTGCACGAGAGGGCTTTATTCCAACTTCCCAGGGATGTTATGGGAATTAAACTAATCACAGATTGGCCCAAACTACTGATATTTTGGAGTTCTGTCTTCTCTTTCCAGAAAAGTTTGCTGGTATGTAGGTTTGGGATTCCAGCCCATTTCAAAGCTAGGGGCTAGCCAGGAGATCTAGATCTGAATCCTCTGTGTTATTAGGGTGCTGAGGTGAGTTGGGCTGGCATGCAGGGAGGTGAGAGCCAGACTTTTCAAGCATTAAATACTTCATGGATGGAAGATGCTTGACAAAGATTGAGTGGTGTTGATATTTGAGGTACTGCAGCTATTTTCTAGACCTGACAGATCTGGGCAAAGGTATAATTGTACTTTTGTTTTCACCCCTGAAACACCAAAGCCATCTGCCTGTTGGAAGGAGGGAGTGTCCAAAACACTCTTCTTTATTTTCTCTAGTGCATGTGGTTTTGGCTTCTAAAATTGCTGTAAATATATTTGGAAGATATTGCATAAATGTATATACATCACAGAGGCTCTCATCACCCACATGTGTATGGAAATCTCCCCTATGATGCTTCAGGATTTAATTAGGAAATGTTGGTGGACTTAATTGCACTGCAGTTAAGAACCACTGGGATATTGCTTCATCACGGTATTTATCACATATTTGTAATATATCCTGGTTTATCTTTTCCAAAGAAGGAGTCTTTGCCAAAGAGACCTTACTTTTCTTAAGGCAAACTTCTTAGCCATGATAAAAATTCTCATCATCTGTGGCTGTAGTAATGTCCAAAGTGTTCCTTTCAGAAAGAACTGGAAGATCACACAGACATTTCTGTTCAAGCCTGCAGTTTTTGCTTATGCCGCTTTGGCTTTGTCTAGCATTTGTTGGCAAGTAGAGCCTGATCCCATGATTTGTGTGGCCAGACGGGGCCCAGGAGTGTCCAGGATCAGGTTCTAATTTAGCAAAATATTTAAGCCCCTGGGGTTTGTTTAAGCACAGGCTTAAAGCCATTGCATGGTGTGACATAAGCCATGGGTCTACAGTCATTAATACCAGACTGATTGTGTATCACCCAGTCAGAAGGATTTGATCTGGGTAGGATGTGGGCACAGTCAAATTTCTGTCAAATTACCCAGAACACATGAAATGGCTCCTGTGTCACTCTTATGCCAGCAACAGGAGGGCATACGGTGGCTGATCCAGCGTAACATTTGGACAACAGGAGGATGAGTTATTACAAGATCAGTGCTTTGTGTTCGGTGGCTGTGGCACTTTCCATATGTCACAAGTAGCCCTACAGCCAGATTTACTGGATCTTTGAACCACAGCTTTAAAACTGTCTACTTAAACTTTCTCCAGAAGATTGGGTTGCCTTGGTTACAGCCCAATCCTTAAGCATATCCCCAAGGCTAATACTAATATTTTGTGAATGTGATGGTTCTATTGTCACTTATTTTAATCGTAACCTGAACGTTGCTTTTAAAAACAGAAAGCCACACTCATTTGCCTTAGTCTATCAGATAATGCACCTTTCATTTTGTTTTGTTTTGGTTTTTTTTAATATTTTAATACTTAGATTTTTATCAGAGCTGCAAAACACTTGGGTAATGACTTAATCATAGAGGTGTGGGAGTACTGAAGTGTTTATCATAGTGAACTCTACATAATAGCTTTCATCCTGATGGCAGGAGCGAGACTTTCATGAGATACAGGCCTTAAGTTGATTTTCTGCCTATCAGTAAAATGTGCCTGGTAAGAATGAGAAAAAGTGTCTTTTAGAGAAATGGCAATTGTTGAAAAGAGGTTGGAACAAGTCATACTGAAAGCTCTTTGGAGCTGTTACGGTTGCCGCCTGGCCATGGTCAGCCAAGCTTACTATAGGTTTGATAAATGCTAGTTCCTTTTAATTTTGAGAAAGTCCAGCAAAGGAACAATAACAGGACCCAAGAGAAGGTCCTAGAGAGAAATCCTATGTCTTTGCTTTCCTTCAGCATCAGAGATAAATGCTAGACACCTGGTGCTTCAGTTGAATGGCTCAGAAAGGATTTGAGTTTATAATTGTTTCCTTTTGATATCTAGTTCCCGCAGCTGGTTCATCATGTTGATTTGCTATTTGTTCACTAAGTTGGGTTTGACTACACCTTGTATAAACTTCAATACTGT